CAGGTGCCAAGGTCACACTACACAAGAGCACATGCCTTTGCTGGGATTAATTAAAAGTCATTAGTTCAGATTATGTCTACTTATACCCTGGTCTACATAGTGAGTTCCAGGACAGCTGGGGCAACAGGGAGACCCTGTCTCAAAAAGACCAAAAAAAGAAGAAAAAAGTTATTTCCACAGAAGCATCATCTTCTCTCCAAAGGTGCCTGCTATTAACAAAGTGGTACAAATTCCTCACAATTTCTTCTACACACATTATTTACAATAAAGGATCTCATCACGATACTGTTTTTAAAACTTACCTTTCTTTGGTTGATGGTATATTGTAATGTGGTATACAGTCATTATATCTGGTCTATGTCAGTGAATGTACACTATTTGACATATTTTTAATGATTATGTAACATTTCCTATTATTTCACCAACTACTTAGCCAATTTTCTACATACAGAAGTTTAGATTTTCCTCAGTTTTTCTTTATTGAAAACAATACTGTATTGCTTTTGGATATTCCTAGGGTAAGAATTGCCTGGTTAAAAGAATGCATTTTTTCAATTTTGATATAGATTCTTAAGTTCTCCAGAAAGAGGGCAATATTTATGTCCCCATCAACAGTATGAAGAATGCTATGATCTTAAGGTTTTAAATTGTTGCTGCTTTGTTAGGTGAGGAGTGATATCCTCTAATTTCTTAACTCACAGTTTTATTATCAGTGAGGCTGAGCAGCACTTCACATTTTATTAGTCCTTGTATTTCTTTCAGTGCAGAGTGCTTTTAGTGAATTTCTTTTCCTTTTTAAATAGGAACTTCACATGCATTGTATAAACCTTTATATAGACTTTGAAAATATTATTTATCTGTTTGTCATTTGTATTTACTTGTGGTATCTTTTAAAAATATATTTACTTTTATGTGTTATGCCTGCATGTATATAAATACACCTGTGTCATGCAGTACCCAAAGAGGCCAGAAGAGGGCATCAGATCCCCCTGGAACCTGAGTTATAGATGATTGATAGCTGCCATGTAGGTGTTGAGATTCAAATCTGGGTCTTCTGCAAGAACAACAAGTGCTCTTAACCACTGAGCCATCTCTCTGGTTCCATACTTATGGGATCTTTTGCATTGAGGAGTTTTTATGCAGTTTTATGTTTATGCAGTTAATTCTTAATCTGTCTTTTGCTAAACTATTGGACTATATTGTTACCTAAAGAAAAGTCCTCTATTTAAAAATAGACATGCTGGTCTAGAGAGATGGCTCAGCAGGTAAAGGTGCTTATTGCCAGACCTGAAGACTGAGTTTGATCTTTAGGACCCACATGGTAGAAGGAGAGGACTGATTCCTGTAAATTGTCCTCAAATTTTCATGTGTGTCCTGCAGTTAGTACACACACACACACACACACACACACACACACACACACACACACACAAATATATAAATATAATATTTTTCAAAAATATAGAAAAATTATACTTTAGAAAAGTAATTATTTGAAGTCTGAGAAAAGTTTTCTTTTGAGGTATTCTGGGTATTTTCAAATCTCCCCAAGAATCACTGACAAATGTATTTATTCATTGAAGAAATATTTAGGAAACATTTCTGGATATTAGCTTCTTGGCACCTAACACACAGCAGGAACTTGTATAGTAGGGGGAAGAATACAAGGGCAATCAGGAAAAAAGTAATGCAACTTTTTAAAAATAGGTAATGTAAGTCATTCAGCAGGCTTTCTTTTTTAAGGAAGGAAGGGTTTATTTTGGCTCACAGTTGGAAGGCACAGTTCATCTTGACAGAAGTCAAGGCTGCAGGCAGCTGGTCACATTGCACGGACAATGCATAATCAGCAAGTAGACAGTGATCCATGCTGGTGCTCAGCTCCCTTTCTCCTTTTTATTCAGTCTCAGATCCTACTCCATGGAATAGTGCTGCCTATTGAGGGTAGAACATCTCATCTCAGTGAACACAATCTAGACTACTCTCTCACAAGCATGCTTAGAGGTTTGAGTCATTCCAAACTCCATCAAGTTGACAATATTATCCATCAGAGAGAAATACAGCTTCCGGCACACTGTTACAATGAGATCCATCTCATTCTAGCATCACTCACTGGTACTTTCTTATTCTTTAGTAGTCCTGAATAAGGTCTACACTTCATTCTTTTATTACAGTAAACTACATAGAACATCAACTATTCTATCTTAACCTGGGCCTGAAGTTCAGTTGTTTTTAACCATCACTACTATCTTTCTCCAGAACTCTTTTAACCTTACCCAACTGAAACTGTTCCCATTACAAGGATTTCCATGCTGCCCTCCCCTGCAAGCACCAAAAAAGTGGTGCTTACTACACTAAGTATCTCCTATAAGTGGAATCATATGATATTTGTTCTTGTCTGACTGACTTATTTCACTTAGCAAACGGGCTTCAGGTTTTACCTGTGTTTGACACATGTCAGATTTTCCAGTTTGGTATACAGGGTAAGTCCACAGTGCAAAGAATGGGGGAGAACATGGACCGTTTCTAAGCAAGATGATGCATGTGGACTCATTCTTTTCATTGTATTTAAACTATACACAAATCATTGGTTTAAAATTTTTCCCCAGAGTGCTAGGATATAAGTAACTTAAAGGCAAGGAATGTGTCTTTCTTGTTTTTCTTTTTCTTTCTTTTCTTTTCTTTTTGGTCTTTTGGAGACAGGGTCTCCTTGTAGCCCCAGCTGGCCTGGAACTCACTATGTAGACCAGGATAGCCTTGAACTCACAGAGGTCCATCTGCCTCTGCCTCCTGAGTTCTGGGATTAAAGCTTTCTTGTTTTCAAATCCCTGGCTTCCAGGTAGGAATTTGGCTCGTTAAATTGACTCAATAAGTATATTGTAAATAGCTGTATTCCCTTACTCTACAAATTGCTCCCTTCTTTCTGAATTTAATATTCATGGTCCCGCCTCCATTTCTCTCCTTCCTCATCCACTACCCTCAAATGGAAATCAACACTTAGTTTTAAATTGGCAACATCTCTAATCCCTGAGGACTGATGTTTCAGCCTTTGCCACTTCATCAAAATCAATCACATTTAGGTAATAAGAAGGAGTCAATTTAAAAATTACAGAATGAATTAAGTACAAAAAATATTTAAGTTCCTTAGAAAAGACAAGGGGACATGCCATACCCCTTTAAACACAGGTTCACAGCAAGCAGTTTGAAAAATATTCATAAATTATCTGATCTTGCAACAGAAATCCAAGTGAAACAATAAATGTCAGAGTTATTAATTAACACTGGAGAAATATCATCTTACAAATGTGGGCAGACACAAAGTTGCAGAGGTAAGGGATTAGGAATCTCTAGTCTTGTAGATAACAATGTTGTGTTTTTTCTGAGAACAGTTTGAATTCAGGACAGATCTTTTCTGGAAGCTCTTTCACTTCTGAGCTTACCTGGGAGCTTGAGATACATTTCTAAAATCTCAAATAGAAATTGCTCTTGGCTTTCTGGTAATGAATGAACAGTTACAGCCCTTGGTTACAATTAGTTTTCACTTTTGGAGCATCTCCCAGGGGTGATCTGTGAATGCTCTAAGGAGGTTGTGAAGCAGATATGGAAGCTGGGGCTCTGCTGAAGCAAATGTGCTCTCGTGGGATGTGGCTGTGAACACAGTATGTGCTAGAATGTAACACTGCCAACGCACCAAATGCCACGTTTTTAAATTAGAGGATTATTCTGAGCGGTTATAGATATAGATACATATAGATGCATTTACATTTTTTACCTCCCCCCTCCTCTGTCCCAAGCCTGAACTCATGTGAACAATGAGTCAGGCATTGTTAAAATCATCAGAAAGATCACTAGTTTGGTATTTTCCTTCAGTGAGTGACCAGCACCAAGTCCTCCATCTGAAGCAGGAAACCTTGGAATTCACAGAGCCAATTATGCAATACTAGACTGTTGGGAAGCATTTCCGGCTGGCTCAGCTGGTGATCTGATTTTACCCTGCAGCACCAAGATTGATAGACCTTATAATTTTATCCTGGTTAGTGCAGACACTGTTCTTACATAACTTGGAAAAAAACAATTCGTTTTCAAATCTAATCTGCTCTTAAGGGATTTGCCCTGATGACATCTCAAGGTAGTGAGATCCGTACCCTGAACTCTGGCTACGGTTAAAAAAATTTTTAAAAGTTTCCTGATTTCCGAATTTTCTGTAGTTTAATTTCACTGAATGCTGTGTGTAGCTGTTTGTGAGAGTGAAAAGGAAAAGAACAATTTCTTTTTTAAGTGCTGGGAATTGAACCTTGAACCCACCAAGCCCAGGCTCACATGCCAAACTCCCAAATATTTGGGAACTGTGAGGATAGGAAAGAGCTGTTCTTAGAAGGCACAGAATATCAATTCAGGAGCCCTCAGTTTCTCTCATGTTAATGATGAGGTATTGTTTTAAATTCATATGCATATATGGGGCATCCATACATAATTAGTATGTTTACAAACCACCCGGCAGAACCTTAGAATTCCTGGTTCTATTAACTCTTAAAGGGAAAACTAGAGGAAAGATCAATTGTGCTTGGAATGGACTATACATCCATCATCCAAGTCTAGGAAAGAGAGCTCCAAAAAGTGGGATACATTTTTATGAAGCACTAACACAGCCAGCTACATATCTAACCATTTCTACAGTTCTAACGACAAAATAAGCACTAGCTACTACATGGAACAACTGTGCTAGCCAAAAAGATTTTTATAATCTGAGAGAAAAGGTCCCATATTGACTCTGGTAAGAGAAACAACTCCTCTTTCCTTGATTATAAAGAAGACAGATGGCTTCTTGTTCAAGATTGTAATTTTACTTTCAGCATCCTCCCTCGGTTAAAAACAAGATGTCCTTTTCTGGCGTTGAAGGAAAATCTCAAGGGAGGAATTTTTATTCCGGGCTGTATTGAATAATTCAACAAACATTCCAGAGAGCACAGGGGGATACAAAGAAGAACTCCCTTGTTCTCAGGGAGTTTAAAATCTTACTGTGGCATTTATAATCAGAATTGGGACCAGAGCAATTAATGTTTTATTTCTTCACTTCCACTTAATGATCTGTTGGTCACCATGAGGACATACTTAAGATTCACTCATCCTGTACTATGGTGGAGCCTCTGGTCAAATTACCACGCAGAGGACTGAAGGAGCTCCAGCAGTCCTTGCTGAGTACTTAACTGACCTACCAGAAGCTTTCCCACGTCTTTTAATCTTAAGGACACTGGTATCAGCACTTCACAGAGGAGCATGAAGTTCGGAGGAACAATGCATCCACAGCCCCAGGAAATGGTAAGGGGACAATCCATCGGGGAATTTTCTTTGTGCCTAGTCCATTCTTAGATTTTTCAATGCTCTGTATATACAACTTCTATGCTCTTTTTTTTTTTTTTTTTTTTCCCCTTAGACATTGGTATCACCTTGGTACCTGTATATCGTGTGGCAAGTCAATGCTTCTGGGGTCTCACTCCTTTGTATCTTTACAAAACACCCTGTTTCATAGCCGATTCTGTCTTTGACAGAAGTTATCTTTGACATGAAGGTTAAGAACAGTGTGGATGCTTACATGATTCTGTTACTACTAACCACGATCTTTATTCTTGCCGCCTTTAAACTGCTTTCGCCTCTCACTAAAGACTCTGGGGGTTGGAAATTTCTTAAGGGTAGTGACCATGGCTACTCGTAACTTGTTCCTACCTCAGGGTGTATTAACACTGGAGTAGGAACTTGTAAGAGAGCAGCAACTTTGTCCTTTTTTGCACTTGTTCATTTCTAGTGCCTTTAAATTTCTGGAATGTAGTATTGTCTCCGTAAATATTTTAAATATGAATTGATGCCGCTCTTTTTTTGGGGGGGGTATTGTGGACTATCCTGTATAAGAAAATTTAGTCTAGATCTAACATAGCTTTGACTTGAGGGCCTGGAGTATTAGTCCCGCCTCCGCCCGTTTCCGGCTCTTTTATTACAATTTCAACTTGAGTGCACATCCTTGTCCGAGCCCTTCAAGGCTTAGTTTCCACATCAGCAAAATGGGGACAGGAGCAACAGATGAGTGTTCCTCCTGGCCTTCCATCACGCTTTTCTTACTCAGGGAAGGTTTATATCACGTACGCTTTCTTTTGGGTAAAAGAGGCAGCCGCCAGAGCTGGGCAGAGCTACCCATCCGTGACCCGGGTAGCGTGCCCAACAGGGAGAGGCAGTAACCCCAGTGCCTGCCCGGTGCCTCACGGGTGCGGAAGCAAGCCGGCACCATTTCGATGAGAGCCGGCCAGGATCTTCGGGAGCTTCAGCCCCAGACGCCCTCTCGCCCCGAGGCAGCGCTGCTTCGGTGCCACCGCGAAATGGGCCCGGCGCCGCGCAGGCTCCGACGCGCGCCCAAGGGCCCGGCCTCGTTCTGGCTGCCGCCGCCCCGCCGTCCCCGCGGCGCGGCACTGGGGGCGGGGAGTCTGATGGGAGACGCGCGCGGCGCCGAGGAGGAGGCGGCTGCCCGGGAGAGGGAGCGGGAGAGGGACTGGGCGCGGGTGGTGGGAGGCGGGAGCCAGGGGGAGGTGCCGCCGCTGCCGCCCGCCCCTTTCCGCTGGGGAGCAGCTGCAGCAGCAGGAGCGGAGCCGGAGCCGGAGCCGCGCAGCCGCCGCAGGGGGATGTGGCGGGCGCCTGCCCCAAGCCGCGCCGCCTCCTGAGGACTCGCTGCCGCC